CCCCCCCCCCCATTACATCTATAAATAAAATATTCATATAGAAAATATTCTGTAATAATTGAAATATATTATGAATAAACAAACTTAAGATTATATCATACTTTCAATAACTAAAATATCTGATAAAAATAAATGCAAAAGAAATAAACGAAAAACTGATGTAAGGCGTGGGCACCGTATCAACTGTATTACAATTTCAGGCCAATTGTAATCCTCACGACTCTATAGATATCAATCCTGTGATGATTTGGTCCGCGGATGACATGTCATAAAAGAAGTTATATAAATAAAGCCGTCGTTTCACTCAAACAGGTTTTATAGAAATTCTTGTGATCGACGTTTCAATTCTTATTTTATAGAATATTCTGTTAAAAAAACAGATATTCTTGTATTGAGAACTTTTCAAACTTTCCTATATATTAGCACTAGTTTTCAATAAGTTATGTATTTTCCATTAAAACCATATCATCTGTTGATTGTGTTATTTTCCATCATTTTAATCATATGTAATACAAATGCAAATAATGGTAAGTTTGTCCACATTTTCTGAAATATTATTATTTGTTTAATGTTTTCTATTATAATAAATTATTAATAATAAAGATTTTATAACAGCATTTAATCAATGCATGAATCAATGCACTTATTTGAAGCATTATTTTTAAATAAAAATTGTTAATTTATAAAATAATTGATAAAATAAACAACAAAAATAATAGCATCATGCAATTTATGGTTTTATAAATTTTATATAATAATTTACTTGATTATGAAATTAGAAAACGACTTACAAATCGACTTTTCAAAAGATTCACCAAATAATTGGCCACAAAATAAATTCAAAAGAGGGGTCAGTCTGTCATTTAACTTGTTTTAATTTCATGATATATTGTATTATTGACTCTTCTCTGTTTTTAAATTTTAGATGAACCTGGTCAGTATATCTCAGCATTACAAAACATTTTTCTTTTATTTAAACAAATATTTAATCACATTTTAATAATTATTTTGTAGGGAAGAAAGGTATAGTATTTTCTTATAATGTAAAAAAATATAACTAAAAAGCATTTTCATGAAATTCTCTATTCCGTGATTATAAACATCAAATCAACAGATGGTTAGTCAATGATTTAATAATAGTTTTGATTTAACAAAATATAAAATTAATTTTTATGTCATATCCAAAAATCAAATACATTGGCAGATGTGTCAGGTATTTAATATATACATAAGAAATATTAAAAATATAATAACAAGAATCCTATTCTCAACTATAGGTCGATCCGCGGGTATGTCTTACTAATATTCATACATTTATTAAATCAAAATTCATTTTCATATTTATTTAACAAATTTGTGGTCAGAACTGCGCTTCGGTAAGGGATTAAAACACTATATTATTATAGATATTAAAATAATGTTTGATTTGTTTGACTCAAAAGTTGGTTGGATTTAACGGCGAAAGCAAACGATTTCGAGAAAATTTTCTGATGAATGAATTCCAGCCGATTCTCAAATGGATTAAAGTATAGACTATAATATGATTTTATTGTAAAGTCATTGTTAACATCAAATGTATGCCAATTATGCTTACAGTCAGACAAAGGACGCAAGTATTTGACGTCTCTTACAGAAGATTTGCGCGACTATTAGTTTGCAATCGTTTAATAAGTTTTCAAGTATTAAATTTCTATATTGAATGACGGAATCAATTAATATAAATCCAATTTATTAAAAGAAATAATAACATGAAAAAAATAAATGTATTAAATATATAAATTAATAAAATTCAATAAATCCAACCAGGAATATTTAGAATTTATTAATTGTTATAATTAAAAATCATTATTAAAAGTAGTGAACATAACATTCAAAATAAAGTAAAACAAAAACTATTTTGTTTGATAATTACTATCATTAATGAAATCACTGATTATTATTAGAGGTAGCGTTAGGATTGGCTCCTCTGGAGGTCCACATCGACCCGCCGTCCACTTCAAGTGTGGCTCCAGTAATGAATGAGGCCTTATCTGACGCCAAGAATGCGATGGCTTCGGCCACTTCTTCCGGATCTCCTGGTCTTTTCAGAGGATATGTTTGTTCGCAGTCTTTGTATATAAGTTGTTGTGTTGTTTGTAAGTCTATACCAAACCCGGCGTCAAATATGTTTGTCTTAATGACCGCTGGACTGAATATACATTTTAAGTAACCATTCAAAGCAATCATTAAAGGGATACTCACTTCACAGCATTCACGCGAACCCCTTTCACACCTAAATCAATGGCCAGACATTTGGTGATCATATCGACACAACTCTTGGCCATACAATATCTAATCAAATTAAGTTTTAAATTCAATTTTCAAATTAAAATCAATTCAAATTTGTACCCAAAAAGTGCCGAATGCTATAAATAGAGTAATGAAAACAACAAATTGCATGAAATTAATTGAAAATATAATCTAAAACTACGGACCGGTTTAGTTGAGGCCACACTCGAGACACTAACGATATTTCCTTTAGTTTTCAAGAGATACGGAACAGACAAATGACACAATAGTACAACTGATCGCACATTTGTGTCCATTATTTGATCCACTTTCACGTCGACATCACTGTCTTCAATATCAGTGACGGCAATAATTCCCGCGTTGTTTACCAACACATCTAATCTGCCGAACGTTGCGATTGTTTCGTCAATTAATCTTCGGATATCTTCTTTAGCCGTAAGATTTGCCAACACTTCCAGAATCTAATTAAACAAAAGGAGAATTACATCCAGAAGTGAACGCAATTTCATGAAAA